TATTTTCAAATCTCGGCAGAATATTTTGTTTTGATTGTTTACCTTTTTTTTTCTTTCTCGTAATACGTCATGTAATTACTTTTTCTAATTTAATCATTATGATTTTTTTTCCTGTTCAAATTATAATAGATCGATTGAATTTAAATCATATCATCCAACATATCATCGAATGCCGAATATATAGCATACATTAACAATGTTTCAACTCAATTCAATCGTTATTTTTCAATATTTATTTTTCTCTTCGGAGTAACAGGCAATATTCTTAATATTTTGGTTTTATCTCAACGATCATTTTTTTCAAATCCATGTGCAATATTATTTTTGGTTTCATCTATCACCAATTTAATTGCAATACTTTCTGGTCTTACTTCAAGAACATTATCTGGCTGGGCTGCTGATCTAACAAATACAGATCGATATCTTTGTAAACTTCGAGCTTTTATTCTCAATGTTGCAAGACCAGTAGCATTTTGGTGTATTCTTTTAGCTGCCATTGATTGATGGTTATTGTCCAGTCCGAATATTCGTTATCGACGGATGAGCACATTAAAAAAATGCTAAACGATATATGCTTATTGTTTTTATATTCTCATTTCTTTTCTTTTCTAATATTCTCTATTGTTATGAGCCAAATTTGATTAATTCACCATTGAAATGCTATGGAGTAACAGTAGCATGTCGTCTTGTCACAGATTTATCATTTACATTTATTAGTATTTTTATTCCTGTATTTCTTATGTTGATATTTGGTTTGATGACAATCCATAATATACGTAAATCACGAAATCAGATCCAAGCAGTCGATACATTAACTCAAACTACCAAAGAATCAAATAAAAGAAGACAACGACAACGTTCAGATAAAATTGATTATCGTCTTCTTCGTATGCTTCTTGTACAAATTTTACTTCTTTTTATATTTGGTCTTCCATTGGGTGTTCAAAAATTGTATACAACAATAACAATGAATAGACCAACAAACAATGTACAAGTGGCTATCGACAATTTTGTCTAC